GGGCCCGACGCCGAAGGCTCGCGGCGCGGACGGCCGATACGTCGGCGCCAGCGCGAGGCAGCCATGCCAGCAGCAGCAGCAGCAGCAGCAGCAGCAGCAGCAGCCGCAGCAGCAGCAGCAGCAGCAGCTTATCTCAGTTCAGCAACAGCGCGACTCGGCGGAACTTGAACTGGCGATGGGCATCGTTAGCCATCCGCCCTCGTCCGGGCCTCGGTTGTGAGGAGGGGAGCAACGGGGGTGGAGCAGCGTGTCGCATCGGGAGGGGAACGACGAGGGAGGATGAGGAGGAGGAGCAGGAGGAGGAGGAGGAGGAGGAGGAGGAGGGGAAGGAGGAGGAAGAGGAGGAGGGGGAGGAAGATGAGGAGGAGGAGGAGGGGAGTGGAGTGAAGTGGGGTGGGGCCCGTTGAAGATGTAAGTCCTCTGGCCTGGCCGTGTGACGACGACGACGTCGACGACGACGACGACGTCGACGACGACGACGACGTCGACGACGACGACGCGGGCGACTGCCGCCCTCGGCGGCCCTGGCCCTCGGCTGCGATTCGAGCCCCGCAAGGAGCGCGACCGAAACATATATTCACCATTGCGGTGCTCACAACTGAACATGGTTGGGTCTTTCGTCCTTCGTCGCGAGTAATTGTAATTTCGTTGCTGCTCCGTTTTTCGTGCCACCTTTCGTCGCGACCCGCCCTGGGGCCCTAGGGCCCCTTGCTGCTCTTGCTTGCTTGCTCGCTTGCTTTCGATTTCCGTGCGTTGTGTGCTAAGGGGCCTTGCTCCCCTCCTCTATGTTAGTTCCTTGTTCATTATTATTCTCTTTGCCCCCCTCGCTCCCGCAATGCCCCGATGCCGCTGCGTGCTTCCCCTGCCAGATGGCTGCGTTGCTGCGACTCTTTCCAAATCCGCTCAGGGTCTGAAGCGCCCCTCGTGCCTCCTTCCCCCCCGCGAGTTTCCCGCCCTCCCGCGCCGAGGGCCAGGTTGACGCGGACTTCTGCGTGCAGATTCCGGCGGGCATCGCCGTCGTGACCGCTGGCGGCATTTAACCTTGGCAGCTTTGATCTTACCATTGACGTGGCCGCTGGCATTTTGGGCTGGGGATTTGGGAGCCCCGTGCCATGTGCGCAGTGGCGCAGTTTGGCCGCGGGGCCAAGTTGACACTTCGCGCGTTGGTGCACGGTTGGGGTTCGGGCCTGGGAAAGCTCGGTGCACGGCGCGGGGGGGTAGTCTTTAGGGCGTGCGGGGTACGGCGTCGTGTTCTGGAGGCAGTGGGAGGTACCTGGGGGGGGCGCAGGATAGGAACTTGCGGGCGCGGGGGAAAGGGCTAAGGGCGTTGAGTCGGGGGTCTGGGATCTGGGGCGTCGGGCGCAGGGACGTGGCGGCTAGGCCTTGGCGACGGACCTGGAGAGTCTGGGGTGCGCGGTTGGTTCTGGCTTGGGGCGCGGGGCGTTGGGGCCAGTGGCGCGCAGTCCAGGGCTTCGAATCTAGGAGGAACTGGTAACTCAAGACTCAAGACATACAGCTGGGGGCGCATGGTCTCGGGGGCGTGGTGTTGGGCGCGGGGTCGTGCGTGTGCGACAGCGCGGCTAAGGCTAATTTCTTGAGTCTCGATTGGGCGCTGTATGGTGTGCGGGGGGAGGGTGGTGGTGCGCGTGGGGGGGTCCAATGGGAGTTTGGCTCGGGGGCCGGGGCCTGGGGCGCGCCGCGCGCGGGGTTTCGGGCGCGTAATTAGATGCGCGGGTGGCGCAGCGTAGGGTGTGGGACCTTTCGGGCCTATGGGTATCATGCAACGCCAGCGGCGCGACGCCTCGCGCGTCGTGTTCGGGCTTTCGCCATGCCCCTAAGCAGCGCGATGGCCCGACCGTGGGCGAAGGGCACTCGTTCATGGGCGCGCCCAATGATCGCCGCGCGTAAATGGGCCAAGACCGTCAGCGAGCGCTGGCCGGCGGATGTGTGAACGCGTTTCCCAACCCAAAAATTGACGCCGCACGAGAGCCTTTGATACGCTTCCCAATCCCAAAATTGATGCGGCGACATCTAAATTGATGCCACCGCCAACTCAGCGACGTCGGAATTGATACGACCGCCAGGTCACCGACATCGAATTTGATACGATCGCCAACTTCAAAATTGATACGCAGATCCGCCCGGCGGATATCTTGATACGTCTACCAACTCGAAAATTGATACCCAGCGAAATAATTGATACGTATTCAATCTCCACACTTGAGATCTGATGGTACAAGCGGGCTGCATCCGAATTTTTGCAAAGTCCCCCCCGCCCACCCCCCAGCGTCGCGATTTTTGCAAAGTCCCCCCCCCCCGATTTTTGCAAAGTCCCCCCCCCCCCGGCGTCGCGATGTTTGCAAAGCCCCCCCCCCCGCGTCGCGATTTTTGCAAAGTCCCCCCGCTCGGCGTCGCGATGTTGGCAAAGTCCCCCCCCCCCCGCCCTCCTGCGTCGCCATTTTCAAGGTATCTTCTCCCCTCTCTCTTCCCGCGTCGGGCTTTCTGTTTAGCCTTGAGCCCCGCCCCTCATCGCTCCCGCGTCGGGATGTTTGTAGAACCCCGCCCCACTCACGCGTCGCGAATTTGGTGTACCCCATATTCCAGGGGGCCCAGCCCGAGACTCCTGGTCCTAGGCCCTACTCTCCAAGTCCCTAAACTCCAAAAGAAAGCTTACGACGCTGGCGATGCATTCCCAAAACCCAAGCCGCCCCCCAACCCCACATGGCCCATGGGCGCCTCCATAGGACGCCCCCGCAATGCGCCCCCCCATGGGCCGCCCCGACAGGGCGCCATCGCCCCCCTTCCCCCTAGGGCGCCCCCATGGAGCTCCCGCGTGGGACGCTGCCATCTGATGCCCCAGTGGGACGCGCCCATCCCAATGGGCGCCCTCTAGGGCCGCGCGGACCCACGGGGGGGCGGGAACCCATGGGGGGCGGAAGCTCGTGGCGGGCGGGAACACATGGGGGGCGGGAACACATGGGGGGCAGGAACTCATGGGGGGCGGGGACCCACGGGGGGCGGGAACCCATGGTGGGCGGGAACTCATAGGGGGGCGGGTGCCCATGGGGGGCGGAACTCATGGCCCATAGGGGGCGGGAGCCCATGGAGGGCGGGAACCCATGGGGGGCGGGGGCCCACGGGGGGCGGGGGCCCATTGGGGGCGGGGGCCCATGGGGGGCGGGGGCCCATGGGGCGGGAGCTCATGGGCCCATGGGCGGGAACCCATGTGGGGGGGGGCAGGGGCCTATGGGGGGCGGGCGCTCATGGGCTGCGGGGGCGCATGGGGGGCGGGGGCCCATGTGGGGCGGGAACCGGAGGGGGGCGGGGGCCCAAGGGGGGCGCGAACCCATGGGGGCGGGGGCCCATGGGGGGCGGGGACCCATAGGGGGCGGGAACGCATGGGGGGCGGTGACCCATGGGAGGCGGGGGCCCATGGGGGGGCGGGAACCCATGGGGGGCGGGGACCCATTGGGGGCGGGAGCTAATGGGGAGCTCCACCGAAGGCCCCTGTGCCGCCGCCCGCATGCGCCCCCCCCCCCCCCCCCCCGCACTTAATTTGGCACGCCCCTCACCCGCCGAAGGCCCCAGTGCCGCCGCCCGCATGCGTCCCCCACGCCCATTTCGGCACGCCCCTCACTCGTTTCGTGGCCTCATTTTCAGTCGCCGCCTTGAGCCCTCAAGGTTTTCATTTCTTTAGCTTTCAGTCACCGCCTTGATGAGCGTGCCGTCCATCCATCCTTCGGGTCTTCCGTTCCGTTCTGTTCCGCTCCCTTCCCCCTCGCTCGTCCCGCCCTCCTTTCATCCTCTTCTCTCCCTCTCCGTTCGCACTGGCTGCCATCCTTGTCACTCATCGTCGTTCGTCGCAACCCGCCCCCTGCCCGGGGCGGACTACTTCGACAGGGGCCGATCCTCCCTGCACTCACGCTGCTATCCGATATCTCCTCCCACTCCCCTCCTCCCCAGGTCCCCTTCGCGAGCCCCCTCCCCATCCTCTTCCTCCACCCCCAGTGGGGGGCAGATGGCCTCATGGGCCTGGGGCTCTCTGACTCATGGTGGAGGAGGGCATGGAGAGTGAGAGTGAGGATTCGGGTGATGAGGAGGAGGGGGGAGGAGGTGGGGCCAGGAGGAGGAGGAAGGCTGGCCGCCTATCCCACTCATACCTTTCGCTTGGCCATCTGGTCTCAGCATCGAGACGGGGTAAGAGGAGGAGGGAGGGAGGGAAGGATGGGGGGGGGAGGGAGGGATGGAGAGAGGAGGAGGGAGGGAGGAGGAGGGAGGTTCAGATAGAGCGTCCTCACCCCCCTCCCCTCTTTCGTCGCCCCCTATTCCCTTGTCCTGCTCCCTTTGGTCTATCATCTCATCTCCGCCCCTTGTCCTCCCTACTATTCTACTCAACACCCGTACGCCGTACGTTTTTTTTTTTTTTTTTTTTTTTTTTTTTTTTTTTTTTTTTTTTTTTTTTTTTTTTTTTTTTTTTTTTTTTTTTTTTTTTTTTTTTTTTTTTTTTTTTTTTTTTTTTTTTTTTTTTTTTATATATATATATATATATATATATATATATATATATATATATATATTATATATATATATATATATATTACAACTCCGACTTCATCCAACTTCCGCCCAACCCTACCATTACCATGCTTGCCTTGTACGCAAACCAGACAACATTTTACTGCTCTCGAGAGACGCTGCAGCATGCATCAACACCGCCATCAGTACATTGACACGACTACACCACCAGACCAACACACATGGTGACGACAATACCGAACTTCATATCTAATTCACAACATTCTACTACAAGTTCACCGGGATTGATTTTATAACAAATTGCGTGCTACAGGAATCGGTATCGGTTTAGCTGCCGCGAATGCGAGATCATTGACAACTCACACAACGTCGAATTCTATATGTTTAGACAAGTGTACAATTCCGAAATCTATATATCTGCACAAGTGTACAACTCCTGAATCGACACAAGTCGCAACAATTTAATGGATGATGGTTTTGGCAACATAATGGCCACTTTTACTTCGTGGTTCGGCGCCCACATGGAACAGCTCGTTAATAACGGCCTGGACAAAACTACGGCCGACAATATCGTGGCGCGCATTTTGCACATGGGTTTCAACTCTGTCCGGCTGAACTATGCTGTCAATGTCACTGTCAATTCCAGCGGTAGTTTCCCTGATGTGCGGGACCCCCAATATGTGTCAGGAGACCCCAGTTTCGCAGGCCTGAACGTTCTGGAGGTATTTGACAAGTGCGTGGAAGCACTCACGTCCAGGGGCTTGCTCGTGGTTGTCAACGTGCACATGCTCGATGCTGCATGGTTCTGCGGCACGACCGATAACAACGCGCAGTGGTACAACGACGTATTCTCTGAGGACGACTGGACAGCATCACTGAATCTCATGGCCGCCAGGTACAGCGGAAACCCACGAGTGATAGGATTCGATCTCTTTAACGAGCCCAGACTGAATTCCATTACCAACGACGTCTCATATTAGGGAGTCTGTGAAGCGGGATCCTGGATAAACAGTCCGTTCGTCCAATTGAGGGATTGGCGAGTGGGTGCAGCCAAGAGGGCCGTGGCGGTTTGGAAGGGTAACCCAGACGCAGTGGTCATCGTTCAGGGCTTATTTGGTATGCACCTCAAGTCTGTGATCACCCGCCCGATGAAGTTCGCTCAAGACTGCCTGTTCTCCAGGGTTGCCTATGAGAGCCACGACTATACCTTCTTCGACTTCGACTACTTCGACTGGCTGGAGCACCCGTGGGCGTGGTGGATCATGTACCAGGACTGCAAGGCGGCGCACACCGAGGCGGAACTCAAGAAGGAAGAGGCCGAGGTTCCCCCGAATTATTGCGATGATGCCGAAGGATACGAGCGATTCAAGCGGGGCCGCCATGCATCGTACCTCTTCTTGTACACCGAGGGCAAGGCCCCTGTATGGACAGGCGAGATGGGGACAAACAAGAGGAGTGTCACGGATTGTTACTGGCAGCATTTGCTCAAGCTGTACAAAGAATTCGATTCCAGCTGGTGCTACTGGCCAGTGGATCCGATCAGAGGCCCGATAGACAACAAGGCCGACACCTATGGGCTATTCGACCCCAGTTTTAAAGATTATAGGGCAGTGGTTGGTTGGAGGTTGCAAGACCTCATTTCAATTCAGGGAACGCGATCGGACTTTCCCTCGTCCGCGCTGGTGCCAGAGACTTGTGTGTTTGATGTCACGGCGAACGAAGCTTCTGTCCAATCGGTCACGACACTGTGGGAAATGCTTACAACAACGAACTGGTCTTTCTGGTCATTGTTGTGGTTCCTGTTATTGGTGCTAGCCTGTCTAGCGTGTTGCATCCCTGTGAAATGTTGTGCGTACCTGTGCTTGCAAAGAAAAAGAGGTGTGGTGCCCCAAGACCAGGCAAGGCTGCTGGAGAAGCAATGGTACGCAGAAGAGTTGTCGTCATTAATTTCGACTCGTGCTTCGTGCGCGCAGGGAGAGCTCCAGAAGGGGCCCACATGCGGCTCACAGGCGTTGATGCCTGAATCAGAAGCGGGGGGCTAGAGACTGTGCAAACAGTTGTGTATGAAGGTCGCAGTCTAAGAAGCCATACCGACAGCGCCATGTATCGACAGCGCATCTTCCCTCCTGTATGTATGTATCTTCTCCTCCAGGTCGCGTTTTGTCCGCGCCAGCTGCATGCGCTTGGTCCCTGGCGAGGGTTGCCCTCTCCCCGTATCGCCACCAGACCTCGAGCAGGGAGGAGTGGGGGATAACGCAATTTGCGCGGCACGATCGCTGGTGCCAGCTGTTGTTGGCAAGCACGCTGCCCATTCTTCCTCCTCCTCGTCCCCCCTCCTCATCGTTCCGGCATTGTCTCGCGAATGCGAGTAATCTGACGCAATCTGACGTAATCTTCGCCATGCAATCTGACGTGTGAGATGTGAGTGACGTGGAGGCCCCGCGAGAAACAGGATAACGCGTATCGTCTAAGTCATCGGATCACAGATCGCTGCCATCCCGGCTGCTTCCGTCTGAGGTTCGGGCCGCAGCCGAGCAGCCTGGGCCTGGGTACCAGGTGGTTTCGGGCCAGGGCCACGACACTGTTACTGGCGTCGCGGCCGACAGCACTCCCCGATTGGAGCCATCAAACTCCTCGATGCGCTGGCGAGTAGGAGCTGGCGCCATCATCTCTCAGCAGCGTATACGCCAGGGACCCATGTGGAATCGGCAACGGGGCCAAATATTATCCTGGCGAAGGACCCAACCATGTGCAATTGTGATTACCGTGTTGTGGCGCAGATTTTCGGTGGAGCTCCCTGTGGGGGCACGACCCGTGTGAGGGGTGCGCCAAAATGGGGCGCACCGCCGTGCGAACTCCTCCACTGGGGCCTTCGGTGGCCCTATGAGGCCGCGAACCGTGTGAGGGGTGCGCCAAAATGGGGCGGCGCAGCCGTGTGGACCTGCCGCTGGGGCCTTCGGTGGAACTCCCTATGGGGCCACGAACCTTGTGAGGGGTGCGCCACAAATCGGGTGGCGCCTCCATGTGGACCCTGCTACGTGGGCCTTCGGTGGAGCTGAATATGGGGCCACGAACCGTGTGAGGGGTGTGCCAAAATGGGGCGGCGCCGCCATATGGACTCTGCCGCTGGGGCCCTCGGTGGAGCTCCTTATGGGGCCACGAACCTTGTGAGGGGTGCGCCACAAATCGGGTGGCGCCTCCATGTGGACCCTGCTACGTGGGCCTTCGGTGGAGCTGAATATGGGGCCACGAACCGTGTGAGGGGTGTGCCAAAATGGGGCGGCGCCGCCATATGGACTCTGCCGCTGGGGCCTTCGGTGGAGCTCCTTATGGGGCCACGAGCCGTGCGAGGGGTGCGCCAAAATGGGGTGGCGCCGCCATGTCGACCCTGCTATTTGGGCCTTCGGTGGAGCTGCTTATGGGGCCACGAACCGTGTGAGCGGTGCGCCAAAATGGGGCGGCGGTGCCATGCGGACCCTCCCACGGGGGCCTTCGGTGGAGCTGCCTATGGGGCCACGAGCCGTGTGAGGGATGCGATGAGGATGACGATGGTGATGATGACGGCTTCCAGAGAGCAGAGGCAGGAATGGGAGGAAGGATGAGGAGGAGGAGGGATGAAGAGGAGAGGAGGATAGGAGAACGCGGGGCGCTGTCTCTTCACAACGAGGACTCAACAACACAGGATGGTTGGGGGAAAAAGGTCACCTGTTAGCTTCTGCTGCCGTCTGATAGGCGACCGAGGCAACATGCCACCTGTTAGCTGCCGCTGTCGTCTGATAGGCGGCCAAGGAAACATGTCACCTGTTAGCTCCCGCTGTTGTCTGATAAGTGGCCAAGGCATCATGTCACCTGTTAGCTTCAGCTGTCGCCTGATGGGCGGCCAATGTCGCGTATCATCTGTTAGCTTCTGCTGTTTCCCACCTCACAAATTTATGTTCAATCTTTGGCTGGTGCCTATTTCAAGTCCCCATGCCGCTGTTTGGTATGTGTCATCTGATTGGGGTATGTTGGCATCGTATTGTTGGGTGTGCCGCTAGGAACACACCATTACCAGATAATGGTGTTGAGCTGTGGGTCATCATCAACCAAGCCCGTCATCAACACCACCATCATCAACACCATCAGCTTCACCGTCATCATCAACACAATCATCACATGCGGCCGTTGTGGCACAGCAGCCGGTATGTAAAGCATCCCTGTCCCTCCTCATCTCCGACGTTCGGCCTGTGAAGCGTAGTGGCATGGACGTCCAGGCCGTTACCGTCGAGTGCGCACGGGCAGCTTTTCGGGCCGCAACTCGTGACGATTTCGTTGCTTCATCCCTGGCCCCTGGCAGCGGCCTCCACACCCGCTGCTGCTGCTTTCGGCGTGCCAGCCAATCCGCCATCGATGCGGCGCTCCGTGTAACGGTTGGGTCGGCAGACCTCCACTCTCAATTGCGCAGCGTGCCACGCTCCATGGCCTGCACAACCGGGGGTCGGCTGTCCACGCCACGAACATGGCCACGGACGACGGGGCCCGGGTGAGCCCCGTGTCGTGACGGCGGCGGTGCCCTGACAAGTCGGAGGGCAGGGCCTCTGTCGTGTTGTTGCTTGAGGAGGGATCTGCTTGGCCACGTTGTCTGCGGACAGATCGTTCTGGACTGACGGGGGCCCTCTGCCGCAACGGCGGCGGTGGGATCTGTTCGGCGACACTTTCTGCCGACGGATTGTCCTGAACTGACAGGGGGCCCTTTGCCGTAACGGCGGCGGCGGCAAGGAACCCTCACCAAACAGTTGACTCGCCCTGTGAGCCTCATAAGCCTCTACGTGGCCACTGGGCTCTGTGAACACAATGATCTTCATGAGCTCAATGAGCCCCACTACGTCCCGTATGAGCCCCATGGGGCCAACGGGCCCTGTAAACCATGAGCCCTATGGGCTCCTATGAGCCCTATGAGCCCCACGAATCTCATGAGCCCTATGGGTTCATGAGCCGTGTGAGCCCATGACCCTCATGATGCCCATGAGCCCCATGAGCCCTTGTGAGGCCCTCTGAGCCCTATGACCCCTACGCACCGCATGAGCCCTATGGGCTCCTATGAGGCCACTAAACAGCATGAGCCCTATGGCACCCATGATCCCTGAGAGCCTGATGAGCCCTTGTGAGCCCGATATGTGCCCTATTAACCTCACGAGCGCCATGAGCCCTATGAGCCCTACAGGCCCCATGAACCCTATAGGCTCCTATGAGTCCTATGCACCCCATGAGCCGCACGGGCCCATGAGTCTTATGATGCCCATGAGCTCGACGAGCCCTATGTGCTGATGAGCCCCATGAGCCCCAACACCACAGGATATCTGGGAAACGTAAGCGGTCAGACCGACAGTTCGAAAACATATCGGTCAAGCCAGAGTTAACCCTCTGACCAGAGATCCTGCTAACAGCGTTAATTTTGGATGTTAGCCCATCTGGGAGGGGAGCGACAACTGCATCTGGCAGAATTTCAATTCGTCTAGGGGGTTCCGAAGAGAACGCCTGCAGACCCAGGAGGAGGAGGAGCTGGCGAAACCTGAAAGCCTGCAGCGTGTGCGAGGCAGTGGCTCTAGATCGTAGCCAGAGCGACAAGCGACCTGAGCCAGAACGCCTGCAGGGTAAAAGAAGCACGCACCCTGAGCCAGCAAGCCTGCAGAACTAGAAACAACAACACCCCCTAAACCAGACAGGCCAGTAAAGCTGGACAGATAAGCCTCCTGAGCCAGAAACCCTGCAGAGCTAGAGCAGAGGGGGTGCATAACCAGAAAGCCTTCATATCTAGAAGAAATGGCCAACATAGCCTGAGAGCCAGCAGCCCCAGACAAAGCAACCTTCGGAACAAGAAAGCCTGGAGGGCGAGAGAAGGATGGCTCAAGAGCCAAGGGTGGCTGGTGGCTCAATAATCAAGAAACTGGGCGAGAGAAGGGTGTCATGACTAAACTACAAGACCCAAGCATCACAATCTTGAACTGCCTGACAAAAGGCCGTCCATGACGTGAAAGTCAGTGGAAATGGATCGGGGAACGAGTTCATTGCAGCGCTGCCGGCGCAACTTGAGAAAGCAACCTCTGATGATAGAAAGCTTGCCAGGCAAATGAAAGGGGCGATTTCGCTTCCGTATGTGGCTAACTCCAGGGCGAGACTATTTCGAGCACAGGGGGCCCAGAAAGTGAGAAGAGCATGCGCCGCAGAATTAGAGAAGAGGTGTCATGGTCGCCAGAATTGTCCGCGAGAGGAGCGCTTAAGTCGACTAGACGTACGAGTGACCTTTCGCTGGAGTGACTTGGTGCGGGTCCAATGGGGTCCCCCAATCGTCGCCGAATGCGATGCGGTAGTAGCGTCTTGCGCGCTCGTGTTTGGTCCCCCCGCGCTCCCCCCAAGGCCGCGCATCAAAGGTCACCCTTACCCAGGGTCACTCTTGCGTGTGTAGTCGATGAAGATGCAGAGAGGTTCGATCTAGATGCAGCCCTTGCCAACGGGAAAGTGCGGATGGTATATCTGGAGAACTATTAAACCCAGATCTGGCCTTCTTGGAATAGCGATCACGCGCTTTGTCCGGGGCCAGCGGCCTCGGGAGATGGCTCCTCTCTGGGGTGGCTCCGAGCGCCTTCCTCCTTGGCGGCCCCACGGGGGGAGGGAGGGCCCTCGCTGTGCCAGGGGGGACGAACCTCCGAGGGACGGGCGGGGCCCCAGCAGGAGGTCCGCGGGCGGGCGTTCACCGATCCCCCCCGCGGCCCCGGAAGTCTGTGCAGCGTATCGGGAATTGCTGCTGATGCTGCCTCGCAAGCCGCGCAGCGGGCTTGCGCACGGTGCGCGGCTGCAGCACTCGCGAAGCACCCCCTATGAGCGTGTGTGCGCTGCACGCTACGCGTGAGAGGCGAGGCGCAAACAAACAAGAAAAACGAAGGTCCGCGGGCGGGCCAAGGGGGGGGGGGACTCTGAGCCGCTCCCCTCGTGGCCCCCGGCCAGGGCCCGCCTGGTTCCTCCTCCTCCTCCTCCTCCTCCTCCTCCTCCTCCTCCCGCTTCTCCTCCTCCTCCTCCTCCTCCTCCTCCTCCTCCCGCTCCTCCTTCTCCTCCTCCTCCTCCTCCTTCTCCTCCTCCTCCTCCTCCTCCCCTTCCTCCTCCTCCTCCTCCTCCTCCTCCCGCCTGGTTCCCCCCGGGCGGGGCGCGCGGCCGCGACCCCGCGGAGGTCTACCTCTCCTCGCTGCTGGGCGGCGGAGGCGCCGGCGGCGTGGAGGACGAGGCCTTGGCGGACCTGCGGCGCTTCGGCCGCCGCTGCGTGCGCGAGCTGGACCCGCTGGCCCGGGAGATGGAGAGGCAGGGGCCACGGTGCCAGGGCGACCGAAGTGCAAGCGGCAGCTCAGAGGACATCGCGGGGCCCAGGATTCGGTAGCAAGTCATGGGAGCTCTGTGTACTCTCGAAATTCCTATCTTCAGCGTCGGTGGGCGTCTGGGAGTCGATGAGATAGCGCCGATGTAGAGTCGTTTTGCGCTGATTTTGCGTCGATTTAGCGTCGACTAGCGTCGATTTTAGCGTCGATTCACAAGAGCTGGCAAGATGGTACGGAGGCTCCCATGAATTGCCACCGAACCAGGAAGGGCCCTCCATGGGGGAAGCTCCAGCCCGGGCTCCTGGCGCCCCGCTGGGGGCTCCGCGGCGCTCTCTCGGAGGGCCGCGTGGCCCAGAGCTGGCCCGAGAGCTCTGGAGAGCGAGGGCATCTGAGTCGGGGTCGAGAGCCGAGGGCGTCCGCCAGACCGAACGTCTGGGTTTGCACTGTGCGCGGCCCGTGCATCTCGATGTCTCGATATCTCGATACCTCGACATCTCGATACGGGGGCGGCCGTGCCGATATCTCGATGTCTCGATGTAGGGGCGGCTATCACGATTCTCGATATCTCGATATAGGGGCTCGCCGGCTCGACATCTCGATATATCGATATTTCAATATCTCGATACAGGGGTGGGCGGGGGATTCCAGAACTCGATATCCCGATATCTCGATATCGCAGGTGGGGCTTCGATACCTCGACGTCTCCACATACGAGGCGTGGAGGCCCATGCTTCCGTGTCGAGGCGGCCGATGTCCAGCGGGCCCCTGCCCAGCGGGCCCCTGCCCAGACGCAGGTCTCGAGATGTGGATACATCGACATATCGGCGGGTGCGACGGCACCGGCCCGTAGGAGGGCACTGGCCCGTGCCCACGCCACGCAGATCCTAGAGCATTGGGAGGAGGATGATGAGGAGGCAGAGGGCGCAGCCAGTCAGGGCGAGACCGCACGCCGACTTACGACAAACAGGAGGGAGGAGCCAATGGAGAGTAGCGCGGAGGGGAAAACAGAGGAGGATGAGGAGGAAGAGGAGGAGGAGGAGGAGCAGGAGGAGGAGGAGGAGGAGGAGGAGGAGGAAGAGGAGGAGGAGGAGGAGGAGGAGGAGGAGGAGGAGGAGGAGGAGGAGGAGGAGGAGGAGGACAGGAGAGCAAAAATCATGACAATATGGGGCTCAGTGGAAAGAGGAGTGCGAGGCGGAGGAGGAGGAGGAGGAGGAGGAGGAGGAGGAGGAGGAGGACCTGAGCGAAAGGAAGGCAAGGAGTAGGAGAAGGAGATGAGAGGAAAGGGAAAGAGAGGAACATGAAGGAAGCGAAGAAAGCTTTCCCCTTGCCCCCACCGTGGCCAGGACGAGGCGCCCGACACCTGCACGGACGGAAAACTATACATGCAGACCTTCCGGCTGCCTCATCGGCACCTTGAGTCCCCTACGCCGGTACGTAACCACGAAATTTCGAGTCATCCCGACCAAGGTCGCGGAAAAACAGGAAAGCAGAAAATTCACAATTCGTGGACGGTTGTTTTTGTTGTGGGTGCCCCACATCGCATCGGGAGGTCTGCATGCATTATTCGCCCTCCTCCCTGCCCTTCACCTCCTTTACCTCCTCCCACCCCGTCTCCCCCTCCTCCTCGTCCTCCTCGTCTTCCTCCCTCTTGGCTCCTCCCTCTTCACTGACTCTTGCCCCTAGCAGAGACCCCCAGAGATCTGCATTCATTATTCGCCCTCCTTCCTGTGCTTTCTCTTTTTCACCTCCTCTTCCCTCTTCTCCCCCTCCTTCTCCTCGTCCTCCTCGTCTTCCTTTCTCCTCGGCTCCGCCCACTTTATTTATCCTCCTCCCTAGCAGAGCCCCCAGAGGTCTGCATGTATGATTCGCCTTCCTCCCTGGCCTTCACCTCCTTCACCTCCTCCTCCCCTTGCTCCCCCACCTTCTCCTCGTCGTTCTCGCTTTCCTCTCTCTCGGCTCCTTCCTCTTCATGTATCCTACTCCCTGGCAGACCCCCCCTGGATGTCTGCATGTATTATTCGCTCTCTTCCTTTTCCTTCACCTCCTTCACATCCCTCCTGCTCCCCCTTCTTTTCCTCGTCCTCTTCGTCTTCCTCCCTCTCGGCTCCTTCTTCTTCACTTTTCCCATCCCTAGCAGAACCCCCTGGAGGTCTGCATGTATTATTTGTCCTCCTCCATGTCCTTCACCGCCTTTACCTCGGATCGACGTTCGAGGATCGCACTCTTCATTATATTCGTCGTCTTACTCGTCGTACTCGTCGTGTTACCCGTCGATCTTATCTTACTCGTCGTAATCGGCCTACTCGTCGTCTTACTCTCGTATTTGTCGTGCTCGTTGTCTTACCCATCTGACTCGTCGCACGCGGATCACATGCGTGCCGGCATGCCGAGGAAAACACATAGTTTGTACATTGCCTCGGGGAACGGTCGTTGAAGCCCCCCGAAGTTCTGCATGTATTATTTGTCCTCCTCCCTGTCCTTCATCGCCTTCATCTCGGATCGAGGTTCGAGGATCGTGCTCGTCGTCGTACTCGTCGTCTTACTCGGTAGTGTAACTCGTCGTTGCTCATCCCACTCGTCGTAATCGGCCTACTTGTCGTCTTACTCGTCGCACTCGTTGTGTTCGGCGTCTTACGAGTGTTACTCGTCGCACTCGTCGCGCTCGTCATGCTCGTCGTCTTACTCGTCGACTTACTCGTCGTCCGTGTCGTCCTACCCGTCGTGCTCGTCGTCATTCTCGTTGCAGTAATCGTCGTCGTACTCGTCTTACCAGTCGTCGTGTTCGTCGTAGTACTCGTCGTCCTACTCGTCTTACTTGTCGCCTAACTCGTCGTCTTACTCATTGTCGTACTCGTCTTACTCATCGTACTCGTCTAACTCGTCGCCTTACTCGTCGCACTCGTCTTACTCGCCATACTCGTCTTACTCGTCGTCTTACTCGCCGCACTCGTCGTCGTGCTCTTCGTCGTACTCGCGTCGCACTCGTCGTCTTGTTCGTCGTACTCGTCTCATTCGTCGACCTCTTCGTCTTACTCGTCGTCGTACTCGTCGTCGTACTCGTCTGACTCCCCGTCTTCTCGTCGACAAGCATGGATTCGCCTCGATATCTCGATATCTCGATATTGTTTCAGGCTTCTTACCCAGAATATCGAGATATCGAGATATCGAGCTCCCGACCCCCGAATTCGAGATATCGATATGTCGAGACATCGAGATGTCGAGTTGGCACTCCCAGGAACCGGGGATATCGAGACATCGAAACATGGAGATAGCGAGCTTGCGCCTCCTCCGTAGCGGGAGATCGAGATGCCGAGATATCGAGATGTCGAGATCGGCTCCCCCCCCCTGCCTCTGTTCACACGCCCGCGGGACCCCCACACTGCAGTGGATGCCCAGGAGCTCCCGAAGCGTCAGGCCCCGAGATCTCAGCCGCAGGCCCAGCAGCTCTCGAGCGGAGGGAACACCGGCCTCCCGCTGGCCGTGGAACCCTTCTGGGCCGCTCGGAGGGCGCAGGGCCCGGGCCCCACCCGCAGAAAGAGGAGGAAAACACGGCGCGCGACGGCGAGGGCTGCCCCGCCCCCTCGCCCTCGCGCCTCCTCGGTGCCGCCCCACTTGCGCCGCCTCCTCGGGCTTCCGGTCGGCCCAGGCTGGAGGCCTTCGAGCCCTTCGGCCAGCGCGCCAACAGGCTGTTGGTCTGTGGCGCGTGGCGGCGCATGAAGGAGATCTCGGCCGAGGAGGGCCTCATAGCGCTCGGGTACGAGCACGAGGAGAAGGGCCGGCCTCGCCGGCCGGTGCTGAACCACCGGCTGCACCAGGGCGTGAAGCTGCTCTGCTTCGGGCCCAGCGCGGGCATGTTCAGCTGCCCGCTGGCGATGACGGACGGGGCGTGCAAGCTGGCCAGCGCCTTTCCACGGCACGCGTGGCTGCAGAAGGTCAAGGTGCACTGCACGAGCAGGGACCCTCGGGAGTTCTGGACCAGCGGGCAGTGGATGACCGAGCGGGCGGGGGGGAGCGACGTCACTGGAGGGACGAGGACCGCCGCCACGCAGGTCGGCAGCGCCTCTTCGGGTGAGGGCGACGATGCGTCCTGGAGCCTCAGCGGCTACAAGTGGTTCAGCTCTGCTGCGGATGGGGAGGTGTCCATCACCTTGGCCCGCGTGGGGAGCGACAAGAAGCCGACGTGCTTCGGGGTGGAGACGAGGCAGGAGGATGGTCAGAGCCTGAAGGACTCTATCCAGCTGGTTCAGCTGAAGGATAAGCTGGGGACCCGGCAGCTTCCCACTGCGGAGCTGGAGCTCACGGACTTGGATGCAGTGAGGATCGGTGAGCGCGGCCACGGTGTCGCTGCCATCTCCGCGCTGCTGAACATCACCCGCGTTCACAATTGTCTCGGGGCTTGCGGCTTCAGCTCGCGGGCCCTGGTGAACGCGAAGCGCTTCGCGCTGTACAGGGAATCCTTTGGCAGGAGGCTCTGCGAGAACGAGCTGCACCTGCACACCCTGCTGCAGCTGGAGGTCGCTTACAGGGCCAGCCTGTTCCTGACACTAGACGTAACGCGCATGCTGGGAGAGCTGGAGTACAGGCAGGTGCACTCCGCCGATCCTGTCCCAGGCTGCTTCCAGGACTTCTCCACGCCAGAGCTGGAGGCGCTGGTGCGGACTCTGACCCCGATGGGCAAGCTCTACACCGCCAAGCAGTCGGTGCTGATCTGCTCGGAGGCGCTGGAGTGCCTCGGGGGCGTGGGCTACCTGGAGACCTCGGGCATGCCGCAGCTGCTGCGGGACACGCAGGTCCTGCCGGTCTGGGAGGGCACCACCAACGTCTGCTGCCTGGACATCCTCCGGGCGCTCTCGCACCCGCCCGCCGGGGGGGCCCCGCCGGCGGAGGCGCTGCAGAAGTGGCTCCGCGCGCAGGCGGAGGGCTCGAGGTGGGCCGGGGCGCTGCAGGAGGCGTGGGAGCCGCTGCGGGCCCGCGCGGGGGAGCTGGGCGCGCCGGCCGAGGGCGGCGGCCCCCGCGCCCTGTGCAGGGAGCTCGGCCTCTCGCTCTGCAGGCTCGCCGCCGCGGCGAGCCTGGCGGGCGCCTGGCGGCGGCTGCCGGCGCCTGGGCGCCCCGCCGCGGAGCTGGTGGTCGACGAGTTCCTCTGCGCGGACTCCGGCCTGCAGATCGGGCGCATCGCCGCCCGGAGGCTGGACGCCGCCCCGCCCCCGAGGCGCCTGGCGCAGCTGGCCGTGTTCGGCCCAGAGGTTCAGCTCGGCGCTGTCGCGGCCTCCAAGCTGTGAGCCGCCTGCCGGCGACGGCGGCAGCGACGAGAGCGGTGGCGGCAGCAGCGGCGACGAGGAGGACGGCGACGCTGGCGAGGAGGACGACGGCGACGTCACGGCGACGACGCTTCGACGACCTCACGATGACGACGGCGACGTTGACGACGACGACGACGACGATTCGACGTCGTTGCGACGACGGCTGCGGCGAGGATGACGCGGATGTTGACGACGACGATTACGTTACGACGGCGTTGCTGCGACGACGTTGCCATGGCTACGACGATGGCGTTGACGAAGATGTTGACATGCTGTGCTGAAGGCGTTGCGACGGTGCCGATAACGACTTTACGACGACTTTACGACGACTTTACGCCGACAACGACGGGCGCGACGACGACGATGACGACAAGGACGACGAGCGGGGCGCCGCGCCGCGCGTCGGCCGGGTTGGCCCTTCGCGTGGCCGTTCCGGCGGCAGCCCATAGCGCTCATTCGTGGCTCGTCGCCGTCGTCGCCATCATGGTTGCCGCTGCCGTCGTCCGTCGTCGACGTCGTCGCCGTCGCCTCCGTAGTCTGCTGTCCGCTGTTCGTCGTCGTCGTCGTCGTCGTCGTCGTCGTCGTCGTCGTCGCCGTGGTCGCCCATTCCTCTGCTCCGCCCCTTCCTTCCACCCTGGGGCTCTGCAAGGGCGAGGCCAGCCCAGCCGACCGCAAGTCGTGCACCGCGAAGGCGTGCAAAAAGTCGGAGCCTTCATCCTCACAAGCTGCCGCGGCCGTCGTGGCTGTTGCGGCGGCCCCGACTGCTCAGGACCCTCTTTGCTTGTGGACCTGCTTGATCAAGAGAGCCTCTTGTTGTGAGCGCAGCCGTCCAGCTTCCGCCCGGAGGGCCGCCAGGGATCGCCGAAGATCGCCGACGACCGCTGGGCAGCCACGAGAGCTCCGTGGCTGCAGCCGCAAGCTCGGGCAGCAGGAGAGGGCGAAGCAGGCCGAGGAGAGGGGGGCCAGGAAGGGCAAGGGTGGTAGGAGGGGTGGTGGGGGGGGGGTAAGGGGACAAGTCTTCTGCTGAGGAGGAGGAGGAGGAGGAGGAGGAGGAGGAGGAGGAGGAGGAGGAGGAGGAGGAGGAGGACTCCGCCCCCCGCCAACCGCCTCGGCCGCCCTCCCGCGGGAGAGGCCGACGAGCCATCGGCTGCGATCCTGGCAGCTGGCCAACCTCGGGCCCCTGGGTCGGTGGAGGGGCCTCGCCGGCCAGGGCGGGAGAGCGTCCCCCTCCCTGGTGTTCTGGCACGGCCAGGCCGGGAAGGGCGCGTCCACCCAGCAGGGGGAAGATCGATCTCCCGTCGACGCTACGACACACCCCGACAATCCCCCGTGGATCTGCGGGCTATTCTACGCACTTCTCTCATGGGCTCGGCGAGAAACTGAGTTCTTTCAGCGGGCGAAGAGAGCGGTATAAGATAGACTTTGCAGCCGTCGGGGACGCCTGCCCCTGGGCGGCGGGAAAGTTTATACCCCTGCGGTGCCACCGTAAGGGTATGAACTTCCCCGCCGCCCTGGGACATGCGCCCCCGACAGCGAAAACGTTTATCTTATACCCCTCTTCGCCCGTTGATTTTAGATTTATGTCGGGCCTGTCCTACAGGAGGGATATTCATCAAAAATAACCAAGCATAGTATGCGGACGTTTTTTTTTGTTGTTGTTTGAGCATTTTTTGTGAACATCTCTGGAGTGTTGTTAATTTTTCGCCCCGGATTCGATTCGATTTCGATGGCTCCCGATTCCGATCCGATTCGACTTGGGATTCCGATTTGGGTTCCGATTTCTTATTGGAGGCATACTAGCCTGCAGATTTCTGCCGATTCGACTTTTCCCGACTTGGCTGCCGATTTCCGTCGATCCGATTCATTTCGATCGCCGATCCGATTTATCAATTCGATTCTGGGCTCTCCTGGGGTGCCCTGGGTTTCTTGGGCTTCGATGGTTTTGCGATGGAACGCGTGACGCTCCCGCGCCACAAGCCAATGGACGTCCGGGGGTCTCAGGGTTGGGCCTCTTGTGGAATGCTTCTTGTGGTCGAGCTCCTGCTGTGGTCGGGAAGGCATATCCACCGATCCGGGCCGCAGGATTGGTCTGGCCAGGATCGGTATGGATGGGTGAATAGCGTTCTCTTACCTCGAGTCGGGGATCGACTACATAATCGGTTCGCCCCAGAGTTGAACTTTTCGTCGATTCCACTGAAAATGCATAGAGCGTATGTCGATACAAAATTGTTCCATTTAGTTTCACCGCAAAAAACAATTCCCTGGCGAATCAATGTTGTAGTCGATCCCCTACTCGGTTACTCACTATCCCTTCCAGGTCTCCCCCTTTCTTGACCCCTTGTCCGCTTCCTCCTGGTTCCCGCCTGGAGCCTGAAAGACTCCCCTGGATTCCTCAAGAGCTTCCTACATCTTGTCGCCCCCCCAACCTCTCAGATCCTCCTCATCTCCCTCCCACTCCTTTCCCCCGTGCTTCTCTCGGCCACGCGTAGAGGGGGGTAGGGGAAGGGGGAAGGCTTCTTAGAAGCACCCCTGCTTCTTAGAAGGCGCGGGCCTTGTTTCTTCTTAGAAGCAGCCCTGCTTCTTAGAAAGCGCGGGCTTGGTCTGTAGATGTAAGGGCGGCGCCTTCTAAGAAGCGGCCTCCTTCTAAGCAGCCTTCCTCCCTCCCCCTACCCCCTCGTGCGCGCCGCCGCTAACTCTCCCTCCTCCACCGCCTGCCCCGACATTTTGCTACTATCAGCTCTCCGTCCTCCCGCTGACACCTCTCCCGTTCGCCCCAGACCGTCGTGGCTGCCATGGAGGCCAACCTCGAGGCAAGCCGGCGGGGGCCGTCGCTGCATCCGGGGGGATGAGGAAGGGGGGTGGGGGGTAGGAGGACGATGGTGCATATGATGACGATGATGGTGATGTTGATGATCCTGATGATGAAGATGATTACGGCGACGACGATCCTGACAATGGCGGACCTGATGATGCTGCTGCTGATGATGATGATGCTGATGACGATGGTGGTGATCATTATGACGACGATGGTGATGATGACGATGATGATGACGATGTTACTAAGGCTGATGATGTTGAGGAGGATGAGGATGAGGAGCGTGGGGAGGGACCGATCAGGCAAAGGAGGACGGCTGCTGTCGCAACGGAGGCAATTGTGCTAACGATGACGATGCTGATCAGGAAGAGGCTGGCGGCCATGAGTAGGATGCGCGACGTTGAGGATGTGCATGATGATGATGGTGCACTAACCTGGTTGTGATGCGAGTATAGATCAGGATACTGCCATCGACAACGAAGTGGGTAGCTCCTCCGACGACAATGATGCTGCTGACGACGATCATGATGACGATGTTGGTGATGATGTTGTTGATGATGCAGATGATGATCACGCTGTCCACGATGATAAACTCACGCCGATGACGTCTATGGCGATGATGATGATGATGCTGATGCTGATGATGCTGATGATGATGCTGATGCTGATGCTTACACTGACGGTGGTGATGATGATGCTGCTAATGATGCTAATTATCATGCTGATGCTTATGTTGATGTTGATATTGATGCTGTTGATGATTATGCTGATGCTGCTGCTGATGATGCTGCTGATGATGCTGAGTATTATTGTTACTATTACTCGCATTATTTACTAATGTTCTTATTTATTTTATTTGCAGGGTTATTATTATTGGTGTTGTTATTGTTGTTATTGTTGTTATTATTGCTTTACCACCATTCGCATCACCACTAGTATTGTCATTATTCGTACTCTTGATATGGCTTTGCTAGTATTTATTATAGTAAATAGCAGTGCTAGCGTTCATCGTATTGTTATCGTTAATATTATGTAAGCGGCGGTGATGATGCTGATGATAATTGTGCACATGATGGTGCTGATGATGCTGATGAGGATCATGTTGATCTTATTGACGACGAGGCTGCTGATGCTGCTGCTGATGATGATGCAGATGATGACGATGTGGTGGAGGGTGAGGAGGGAATGATGATTGAGATGATGGTGGTGATGTTGCTGGTGTTCTTTAGGACGACGATGATGCTGCTGACGGTGGTGGTGGTGGTGGTGATGATGATGTTGATGATGCTGCTGCTGCTGATGATGATGATGATGATGGGGAGGAGGAGAAGGATGGAGGGTCCGATAAGCAGAAGAGGCGGAAGAGGAGGAGGAGGATGAGGAGGAAGAGGAGGAAGAGGAGGAGGAGGAGGAGGAGGAGGAGGAGGAGGAGGAGGAGGAGGAGGAGGAGGAGGAAGAGAGAGCCTCTGTCCTCCCTCTCCTACGCCTTCTCCGCCTTCCCCTTCTCTTTCTCCTCTTCTCTCCCTCCTTTTGTAGCTTTCTTAGGACCCTCTCGTTGCGACGCCTTCGCGCGGCTCGGAAAGCGGGCCAGACTTGACCCCGGGAGAGGCCCGGGGACGGCTTTCGAGCGGACTTGGGCCCGAAGGCGCCAGCTAAAAAACCGCGCCTCTCCTGGCCACGCCGACCCTGAGCCCAGGATCAGTGTATCTATGCCTCGCTGGCCAAGCCATAGGGGGCGCACCCGCAGGTCCTGGTCCCAGGATGGGCCTGACGGCGATCGGCGTGGGTGCGTGGCAGGTACGTGGCCTCCAGCCAGGGGCACGAGGGGAAGGAGGGCGCACGCGGCGATGATGAGCACGCGCCTGCGAAGGACACCTGCCATGCCGCCGGGGGGTGGCCGGCCAGGCCACGGGCCTGCAGCAGGCTGGCGTGGGGCTGCTGCGCAACGCGGCCGCCTGCGACGCCGAGTGCCAGGCGCCAGCGACGACGACGACGATGACCACGACGACGATGCCGACGACGGCGACCACGACCACACCACGACGTCGACGACGACGATGACGACGACGACGACGATGACGACCACGACCACGACCACGACCACGACCACGACCACGACCACGACCACGACCACGACCAAGACCACCACCACGACCACGACCACGACGACGTGGCGCGGCGACGGAAAAGCGAAGTGGCGACGCTGATCACCGCCACCACGACCACGAAGACAACGTCGTGGCGCGGCGACGGCGGCGGCCGCTGGCGGCAACGAGCGCGGCGGCGGGCTGGCGCAGGCGGACGTCGCCGCGGCGGGCGGCGTGGGCGCGGTGCTGGGCGCCATGTGCTCGCACGCCGGGGCCGCGCCGCTGCAGGAGGCCCGCGGCGTCGTCGTCTTCGTCGTCGTCGTCGTCGTCGCCGCTTCCATGCCAGCCTTTTCCTCACAGGCTTCGCGGGCACTTTCATCCGGAGTCTTATTCCTGGGCATCGGAGCTTGTGATGTGCGCCCTGCCGTACCAGATGGAGAGCCGTGTCTTTCTAGTGGTTTCTGGCGCCCTCTTCCATCCCTCCCTGCTTCCTCTGCCTGCTCCTGCTCCTGCCACGCCTCTGCTTCCTCTTCTCATCCTGTCGCTTCCTGTTCTCACAATACCACTCTTTTCCCCCCTCCTATTTTTCCCTCCTCCTCCTCCTCCTCCTTCCACTTCCCTCCTCTGTCCTCCGACGGCGACGACAACGGCTGCGTCGACTATAGTCACGATGGCGAGGTCTGCCAATTCGTCGGTCGCTTTACGTCGTGGCTTTCGTCACGTCGCCGTCGTGCGCCGTCGCTGTCGCTGTCGCCGTCGCACTCGCTGTCTTCGTCGAGTCACGTCGTCGTCGTCGTCGTCGTCGTCGTCGTCGTCGTCGTCGTCGTTGTCGTCGTTGTCGTCGTCGTCGTCGGCGTCAAGTCATGTCAATCAAGGCAAATCAAGTCTAGTCAGGTCGTGGTGGTGGCCGTCGAGTCGTCGTCGTGGAGGGGGTACGAGAAGGAGGAAGGATGTTGTAGGCTTCCTCGTCGTCGTTGTCCTCCTCCCCCCTCCTCCCCCTTCCCTCTTCACTTCTCCGTCCTCCGTCCTCCTTCCTCCTCCTCCTCCTTGCTCCTCCTCCCCCTCCTCCTCCTCCTCCTCCTCCTCCTCCTCCTCCTCCTCCTCCTCCTCCCCCTCCTCCTCCTCCCCCTCCTCCTCCGTCCCCCTCGTCCTCCTCCTTCCCCCTCCTCCTCCTCCTCTTCCTCCTCCTCTTCCTCCTCCTCCTTCTCCTCCTCTCCTCCTCCTCCTCCTCCTCCTCCTCCTCCTCCTGGTCTCCCTCCTCTTCCTCCTCCTCCTCCTCCTCCTCCTCCTCCTTCTCCTCCTCCTCCTCCCCCCTCCTCCTCCCTCCTGGTCGTGGTCGTGGTCTTGGTGATCGTCGTCGTTGTCGTCCGACTGGCGCGCCCGCGTCCACGCCCCGCTGCGCGCGCGCACGAGCGCGACTCCGCGTCGGGGGCCGAGCGGGGCTTGCACTGGACCGCCCCGCCCTCCGTAGGCCTCGTCCTCGTCCTCGTCCTCCCCGTACGTTGATGCTGCCACCGCCCGCCCCTCCGTCGTCCCCGTCCTCGTCCTCGTCCTCCCCGTGCACTGATGCTGTCCTTCGGCGGCGGGCGGGGGGGGGAAGCGAGAAGCAGAAGGCCTTCTCAGAAGGCGGCGTGGCTTCGCAGAAGCCCTCTGGCCCTCAGAGAAATTTTCCGTGTCTTCGGGGAGGGCTCAGAACATTTTTCAGAAGGCCAGGGGATTTCCGATCTTTTGAGAAGGCCTTCTCCGTCTCACTTCCCCCTCTCGCTCGCCGCCAAACTGGACCGCCCCACCCTCCGTCGTCCTCGTCCTCGTCCTCGTCCTCCCCGTAGATTGATGCTGTCTTCCGTGCTTACCACGCTGCTAGGTTCAGCTCTCGCTTTCATGGGCATTCGCATGCGTCGAGGCTTGCACGCGCACGAATCCATGCCACCACACATCGGCACGCTTCTCCTGCACAGTTTATTCATGTCATGCAGCTCTGTTGACCTCTCTTTCTCTTGGCCACTGCGCTCCCCGCCCACCCCCTGGACGCCGAGTGGTCAGCGGCCTGCAGACAATCTGGTGCTGTCTGTCTCATCAGGCCGTCAAGAAGGCCGCTGACGAAGCGGGGGGAACTCTTTTGCGCCGGTGGTTGACCAGGGCATGAAGAGCTGGAGGTCCCTCGCACGTGGCCGAGAGCGGATGCTGAGTGAGCGGTTCGCCTCATCGACATCGATTCGGCACGCCTGCCTGCCCGCCCTTGACGGGCCTGTGCGGAGCCGCGCATCGAGCGAATCGAGCGAATGCCTCGCTCTCTCTCTCTCTCTTCTCATCGCCCCTCGCCTTCCCCTCACCATCCTCCCTCTTCTTCTCATCCTTTCTTTGCCCCCCTCTTCTCTTCCACCCTCCGCCCCCTTCTCTCACCCCCCCCTCCCCCTCCCGCTCCTCTCCCCCTCCTCCTAAGCAATCTTCTGCCCTTCCTCCCCCCCCATCCGCCTCTCCCTCTCCCTTTTCCCCTTTCCTCCTTATCGAAGACGCCTACGGCGAATCACCGCCGCCCCCTGCCTTTTTGGAAGTGCCTATGTGGCCGAACGTTGAGGCCAGACCTGCAAAGTTATCGGACCATGTGTTCCCCGAATCGGTTTGGAAAGCCTTCGGGGAACACGTGGGCATCTTGAAGGTCATCTTGGCCGTCAGGAGGCCATTTTGACCCTTTCGGGCCTTCTTGGAGGACGTCTTGGAGGGCTCTTGGGCCGTCTTGGAGGCCATCTCGAGCGTCGTGGAGGCCTCTTGGGCCGTCTGGGGAGCCTCTTGGGGCCGTATTGGGCCTCTTGGGCGATCTTTGGGGGCACTCCGGCCGTCTGAAGGCCGAAAACAAGCAAATGCCTCGATCCTTCAAGAACTTATGGGAAATCCACGATTTGGGTCTTTTTCGGGCTTTCCTGGAGGCCCTCTTGGAGGCCTCTTGGGCCGTCTTGGGGCATCTTAGGGCCATCTTCGGCCGTCTTGGTGGGCTCCTGGCCCGTCTGACGCCGTCGGAAGCCGTTTGGGGGGTCTCTCTGGGCCGACTTGGGGCCCTCTTGGAATGCTCCAGGGCCGTCTTGGAGGCCTTCTTGGGCGTCTTAAAGGCCTCCTGGGCCGTCTTGGGGGTCTCTTGGGGCCATCTTGGTGGCCTCTTGGGCCGTTCTTGGGCCATCTTGGGCCGTCTCGGGCCGTCGGAAGGCTGAACAGAAGCATATGTCAAAATCCTTGAAACACCTAAGGATCATCATCATCATCATCATCATCATCATCATCATCATCATCATCATCATCATCATCATCATCATCATCATCACCACCACCACCACCATCATCATCATCCTCATCCTCATCCTCATCCTCATCCTCATCCTCATCCTCATCCTCATCCTCATCCTCATCCTCATCCTCATCCTCATCCTCATCCTCATCCTCATCTCATCCTCATCCTCATCCTCATCCTCCTCCTCCTCCTCCTCTTCCTCCTCCTCATCATCATCATCATCCTCCATCATCACTCAACCATCACCACACCATCACCATCACCATCACACCACACCATTCACCAACACCATCACCATCATCATCATCCTCTCATCACATCATCTCAATCCTCATCCTCATCCTCATCCTAGCCTCATCCTCATCATCATCATCCCATCACCGCACCATCACCATCACCATCATCATCAATCATCACATCACCATCACCATCACCTCACCATCACCATCATCATCATCATCATCTTCATCATCATCATCATACCACCATCATCATCTTCCAGCCTCAATCCTCATCCCGGTCATCCTCATCCTCATCCCAATCCTCATACCTCATCCTCATCCTCATCCTCATCCTCATCGCTCACCTCATCCTCATCCTCATCATCACCATCACCACGCACCATCACCATCATCATACATCATCATCACACATCACCATCACCATCACATCACCATCATCCTCCTCCTCCTCCTCCTCCTCCTCATCCTCCTCCCCCTCCTCATCATCATCATCATCATCATCATCTCATCATCATCATCATCATCATCATCATCATCATCATCATCATCATCATCATCATCATCATCATGGTAACAACTTTAGTGTGGAGTGTGCTGGGGCAGGGGTTCAGTGGCCGCACATCTGTGAATATTTGTGCTCAAGCTTTTGAGGGGCATGCAAGCTGCCGCCACGCGTTTCCTTTCGGATCTCGCGCGCGGCGCCTCGCAGGCCCTGGTGGTGTGGTCGGCCTCGCCCTCACCGTCTCCCGCGTGCCCTGCCTGTACGTGCGAGTGCTCCCCGACATACAGCGTCTCCTGCCCGAACATCGACGTGCCCCACGCGCTGCAGGTCTTGACGGCCTGGGGCAGCCACCTCGTGTTCTTCTTCTTCGGGCTGCTGGTGGGCGTCTTCGTGGTGCCCGCGATCTGGAGGTCGCAGGCTGCGGGAGTGAGAGTTTCAGTCCCATCGGAGGCAGTCAGCGCTGGCGCGGAGGGCGTGGCGCCGTCGGTCGAGCAGCTTCGCCGTTTGGCTTCGCAGCAAGCGAAGGCCGCCATTCAGAATGCCACGGCCAGGTGATGTGCACGCCGTTCGGTATCGTGTGGGAGGACCCGCTGTATACCATGAGCGGATCACGTTGTTGGACGTGCCACCTGACGCGGCGGTGGTCCTCACGGTGGACGGAGACGTTTACGAGGAGTCGACGGTCGTGGATGCGGACGTGCTCGAGGTGCGGCCTCTTCGAGGCCTCGGGGCCCCGCTGTTCGGCGTCGCCGATCTCAACACGCATCGGTTCGCGGTGGCGCCCGACGCGGACACCATGTGGGCGCACCTTCGGGCGGCCGCGATGTTGCGTGGCGCGCCCGTGCCCGCCTCGCCGTTCGTGTTGGCTGCAGGCGTGGGCGTCGGGGCTGCCTGGGCTTCTCAGCGCGTGCAGCTGGACGACCCCGCTGACGCAGCGGCCGTGGTGGCGGCTCCCCCTGCCGCGCCTCCCGTCGGCGGCGGCGCCGCTGGCGTAGGCGGGGCAGGGGCCTTGGCGGCCGCCCTGGGGGTGCCCGTGCCACGTGCTGCAGCCCCTGCGGCCGCGCACGCCGCCGCGGCAGGGGATCCCGCGGCGGCGGCCACTGCCGCAGGCGCTGGTGGGCCGGCTAGGGCAGACTGCCGCGTGCACCCGATAGTGCGCGACGCGGCTAGGCGGCGGGCGCTGGACTTCACCACGGCGGCCTTGCTGGCTTCTTCCACGCCCCAGGCGGACTGGCCGATCAAGGGTCCGCGGACGACGCAGTGGTGCCTCGATCACATGAGGCGCGACGCAGGCGGTCCGCTGGCGTGGCGTTCCAAGTGGAAGGCGGGGGCGATGTTGTGCGACACGGATGCGATCTGCCAGCAGCACGAAATGAACTGCAGGTTGCTCGAGATAGGCCTTTGCTACGACCAGATTAACTGCGCGGAGCTGGCGTCATATGAGCTGATCTGCCGCCAGATCCAGCTCATCGAGGAGCGGCACTACGAGGACACCGTCACCGCGCAGGTGGCCGCGGAGGACAAGCAGGCGGGGAAGGACAAGAGCGCCAAAGCTGCCAGCTCGAGCTTGCTGGCGGTGGAGGCGGACCACTACATGGGGGTGTCGGCGAGCAAGGGCAACCTGTGCATCGCGCCCGCCCTCACGGACTTCATCGTTGTCCAGTTGAAGGCGGATGCCACCATTGCCAAGGAGAGGCGCAAAGCCCGCGAGGAGCGGGCGGCGCGCGCGTAGCCCTTCGAGAGCTTCTCCCAGGCGGGTGCAGGCGCTTCGGTGCCGCCTGGGTGAGTCCTGCATTTTCGTGGGGGCTGTGCCTCCACCAGTGTTGTCGCGATGGGCCCGGGAGCTCGTCAGCGTGATGTGTTCCCCTTACCTGCTCTGGCGGTGGACGCTCGCGTGGACGCTTGCTGCAGCCGTCGGGGGCGCCAGCGCGCCCAGCGCGGTGCTGCTTGGCGGAGATGGGCTGACGACGGCATCGCAGCCCTGAACCAGCTGAGCGGCCACTTCGCTCCTGCGTCTGCCCCGCCTGGTTTAACGGCATCGGCAGCGCAGGCGATCGCGATGGATCACATCTCTCAGGCCTATCGACATTTTCCGCTACCTCCTGAATATCATGAGGATGCTCATTCTGGCGAAGCAGCCTTGGCAGAGCTGCTCGCGTCGGCGCCTGGGTACTCTGCTGACTCCCAGCGCGTCAAGCCCTACAACAAGGATCCAGTGTCCTGGCCTGATCTCTCGACGGCTCCAGTTGATGTCGCTGATCTCGTCGGGGAGGCCGAGCGCGAATGTTTGTCGGGATGGAGACGGACCGTGCTAAAGGGTGAGTCGTCTGCTTCCGATCCGAGAGCGGCTTCGGTGCCGCAGCGCCCTTACGTCGACCCGATTTTGGGCAACAGCCCCAGGGCCGGCTTCGTGGGTAAGTTGCTGCAGGGTGGTATGATCTCCTTCTGTGTCGCGCGGGCTGGTGATCCTTTTATCTTGGGTTTTTTCTTTGTCGAGAAGGTTGGCAAAGGCACGCTTCGCCTCGTCTTCGACACGAGGGTGGCGAACGAGGGTTTCGTGGCGCCCACGCTCCCCACGGCGGCGGCGTGGGCCGCCCTGGAGTCGGTCCACCCCGTGGTGCTGGCCCAGGGCGATATCCAGTGCGCCTTCTACCGCGCGCTCGTGCCGAAGGGCATGGGGGAGCTGTTCACGCTGCCGACAATCTCCAATCGTCTGCTCAATGTAAGCAGCTCGACGGCCCCCCCATCCCTTCCGACTGCTTCCTCCAGCCGATGGTGCGCGTCCTGCCGATGGGCTGGGGCTGGTCGCTGCTGTTTTGCCAGAGCATCATGAGGAGGGCCCTCGTCCACTGCGGTTTCGGCGACGGCGACCTCATCGAGGATGGTCGACCGAGCCCCGTCCTCTCTGCCAAGGACAGCGTGGCGGCGGGGGGCTACGTCGACAACTTCGCCATCGTGGGGGGCGACCCCATCGCCGTTACCTCCGAGAGGGATGAGGTGACTCGCGCGCTGGAAGCTCGGGGGCTGCCTGTGCACTCGCTCGATACCGCCTCGGCCGTATCCGTCTTCACGGGTCTCGAGATCAACGTCGACCTGGGGGCCGTGAGGGCGAAGCCTTCTAACGTCATGCGCCTTCGGCAGGCGCTGCTGGCGGTGTTGCGGCGAGGCGCCGCCTCGCCTCGCATGCTCGAAGTTCTTCTGGGCCGCATCGCGTGGACAATGGTCTGTAAAAGAGAGACCCACTGCATCCTGTCGTCTGTCTACGCCATTAAGTCCCAGAAGGACCCTGGAGTCAGGCCCTGTGGGCCTCCGTCAAGTTCGAGCTTTGGTGTGTGGCTAGTACTTTACCTTTGTGGACGTCGCACATGAACATCCCCTGGGGCTCCCACGTCTCGGCTTCGGACGCTTCTCCCATCGGTGTGGGCGTGTGTACTCGCAAGGAGGTCGGGCCTCGGGTGGCCGAACTTGGAAGGCAGGCGGAGAGGTGGAGATATCGTTGTACTTCGGCGGTTTCGGCACGTGCGAATGCGCTGGGTCTTGGAGGGGCCCCCGACGACTTCGACATCATCGAGGGTTTCTTGGGCTCGAGCCCCGAGAGCTTCAGCGAGGGCTTCAACGAGATCCCCGAGGAGCTCATGCAGGTCTCGCCGTGGGTCACCGTGAACTCCAGGAGGCATTGGAACCCGTCCAAGCACATTTTAGAGCACGAGGGTGACGTGCTGTGCGACGTGGTTCGGCGCGCCACCCGCAACGTTTCGCTTCACCACCATCGCCTTTTGTTCCTCGTAAATAACTTACCTTTGGCTCTGGCGGCGGGCAAGGGACGAGGCCGCAAGCCGACCCTTCGGCGACCCTTGCGGAGGATCGCCGCGCTCGCGCTGGCCGCCAACCTTCGGTGCTATGTGCGGTGGGTACCTTCTGAGCTGAACGTCGCGGACGGGCCATCCCGTCATGGCTTCTTCCACGGCAAAAGCTTCGAGGAGGCGCGCCTCTCCTCGGCTGATCGTTCCCTCCCTGAAGCAGACTGCTGCTCCGACCGTGGCGGCTCAGGCGGCGGTTCACCCTCGGGCCGAGGAGTTGTTCGAGGGGGCCCTCAGCTTCCTCGAGAACTCAGCGGTGTCCGACCCTACTCGGGCTCGGTCCCGCTACCACGCCCTGCGATTCCTGGAATGGCTGGGCTGGCGCGACCTGAACTTCACCACCGCCAGCCAGCTGGACAGCATCATCGTGTGCTTCCTGACGGACTTGGCCCTGGACGGTTTCGACACAGCGACGGGGAGGGTGACGGTCGCGGCGCTGCGCCACTTCCTGCCGCACATCCTCGTCGGGAAGCGGCCGCTCCCGCGGACGGCGCGAGCCCTCGATGGGTGGCGCCCTCGGCGCCGCCGCAGATGCGTCGCGCGGCCGCGATGGCGGTAGCAGGCTGGCTCATCTGGAAGAACCTGCCCAGCATGGCGGTCTTCGTGGCGCTGGTTTTCCACGCGTACCTCAGGCCGTCGGAGGCCTACAGGCTGCGCGTGGGCTCGCTGGTGCCGCCGATCCCAGGGTCAGGTTTCAACGCGTGGGGCATCATCGTGAACGACGCGAAGTCGGGCCGCCCTGGCAAGACGGGGGTGATGGACGAGTCGGTGCTGGTCGACGCCCCCGAGCTCTGGCCCGTGCTGCGCGCGCTGGCGCTCAACGCGCCCGCGGACGTCAGCCTCTGGAACTTCGCGCCCGCCGACGTGCGCGCGATGTTCCGCCAGGCCTTGCGCGAGCTGGGGCATGCAGCAGCGGATCAGGGACCTCCCGCCTCAGATCGCCGACTTCGGCGAGCAGGTGTTCGAGAGGCTCGCGGAGCTGATCGAAATCAAGTTCGTGAAGGGCAGCTTCCCGTTGCCAGTGCCGCTCCAGCCGGCGCCCGTCCTGCCGCGGGACGTGAAGCGGGCGCCCGTTCTGTCCAGAAAGTAGCTTCGCGCATGCGTGCGGCCTTCCGACGTGTTTTTGCGTGGGCGCCCCGTCGCCGTCGGCTCGTTTTGCCAGTGGTTGGGCCCCGCGGGGTCACCATTTGCAAAGCGCTGCGCCGTCGCGGTCTGGGTTGTCCTTCGCTTGGTGCAGGTCGAAATGTAGGGCTTGCGCTGTGCGATCAGGGCGTTGTCGATGGACTCCTTGGGTGGATTCGATCGTCGGCGGTCTGTGCTTGCTGGCTCTCTGTGCCGCGCGGGTCTTGGATCGAGTCTGCGTCCCCGCCTGTCCGCGCAGCGTCAGACCCGTGGGGTCGGGCCGCGCCTGCTAGCCTGCGGCTGCAGCTCCCGACGTTTGTGAGTGACAATGTCGGGGTGCGCGCAGCCCTCAGAGTTATCCGTACCTGTATCGAGTTGTCTGTGCCTGTCTGTCTTGAGCACCCGCGTGCCAGCTTCATTTTTGCGTTGCCTGAGTTTCGGGCTCTGGTTAGTCTCCCGTCGTTTCTTCAAGTAGACCTGGACCTCTGCCAATTCGGAGCGGCCGCCCGCTCGGCCACGCGAGTGTTCTGCTGGCGCTGTCCTCAGCTCCAGTGCCTCAGCGCTCGTTGCCGTCTACGTGGGTTGGTGTGCTCAGGATCGGGGCGACCTCATTTACATTTCGACGGCCGCGCGGCCAGAGGCGTGGCTTGCCGCTACAAAGCTGCGCGCATCCCCGTCCGAGCTGCAGAGCTGGTGACCGACTCCATCGTTGATGCTATAGAAGATCTGTCTCGGTCCAGGTTGTATAGTCTCTGCGGCCTGCGGCCATGATGTAGTGTTACACAGTGTACGTCTGTGCTGCCTGCAGTGTCTGTCGCCACTCGTGGACTGGATGCATCGCTTCTTGCCATCGCCACCGTCAGCTTTTCTAAAAAGGAACGCTATGACCACGGCGACCCTCCTCGGCATGGTAACAACTTTAGTGTGGAGTGTGCTGGGGCAGGGGTTCAGTGGCCGCACATCTGTGAATATTTGTGCTCAAATTCCCAAGCCCACCCGCCCTCGCTTGAGGGTTTATTTTCGCTTATCGACGTCTGTGCTGCCTGCAGTGTCTGTCGCCACTCGTGGACTGGATGCATCGCTTCTTGCCATCGCCACCGTCAGCTTTTCTAAAAAGGAGCGCTATGGCCACGGCGACCCTCCTCGGCATCATCATCATCATCATCATCATCATCATCACCATCATCATCATCGTCATCATCATCATTATATATATATATACACCTTTTCTGGCCTTCCTGGAGGTCCTTTTGGAGGCCTCTTGGACCGTCTTGGGCCAGCTTCGAGCCAACTTCGGCCATCTTGGTGCTCTCCTGGCCAGTCTGACGCCGTCGGAAGCCGTGTGGGGGGCCTTTCTTGGCCGACTGGGTGGGGGTCCTCTTGGGGTGATCCAGGGTTGCGTAGAGGCCATCCTGGGCGTCTTGGAGGCCTCTTGGGTCGTCTTTGTGCCCTCTTGGGGCCGTCTTTGGGGCCTCTTGGGCAGTCCTGAGGCCATCTTGGAGGCCTCTTGGGCGCTCTGGCGGCGATCTTGGGGGCGTCTTGGGCCGTCTTGGGTCGTCGGAAAGCCGAAAAGGAGCAAGTACGAGCAACTTAAAAAAACCAGAGGAAAATCAATTATTTTAGCCTCTTCGGGCCCTCCTGGAGGACCTCTCGGAGGCCTCTTTGGCCGTCTTGGAGGCGTCTTGGGCACCTCTTCGGCCGTCTTGGGCCGTCTTGGCGGTTTTTTGGGCGGACTTGGAGGTATCTCCTCCTCTCTTGGGC